CTGACTGTGAGCATAGCCTTGATCTTTCAGTGGGGGCTTTGGACAAGTGTCAGTGCTGGTCCTACTGGACCTTAGTGCTGCATTTGACACAATAGACCACAGCATTCTACTGCAGAGGCTAGAATGTGATATAGGTCTTAGAGGAACAGCCCTTGGCTGGTTTAAATCCTATTTATCAGATCGGTATCACTTTGTCAACGTAAATCAGAACTCGTCGCCTTATTCTGGAGTGGAATTCGGTGTGCCGCAGGGTTCGGTACTCGGACCGATTCTTTTCACTCTCTACATGCTGCCGTTAGGAAACATTATTAAAAAGCATGGAATTAATTTCCACTGCTATGCAGATGACACACAGCTTTATCCGTCGATGAAGCCAAATCAGACAGATCAGCTGGAAAAGCTTAGTGCCTGCATTAAAGACCTTAAAACATGGATGACTCTTAAAATTCTACTTCTTAACCCGGAGAATCCTACTCAGTCCGAAGCGCTTGCGTGACTCCCTTACTGACCAGATAATCACCCTCGATAATGTCAGTATTATACCCAGTAACACTGAGGAATCTTGGAGTCATTTTTGACCAAGAACTCTCCTTCAAGGCTTATATAAGCCAAGCAACTAAAACGGCGTACTTCCACTTACGGAACATCGCTAAAATCAGGAATTTCCTTCCTAAAAGTGACGCGGAAAAACGTATCCACGCTTTTGTCACCTCAAGGCTCGACTACTGTAACGCTTTACTGGCAGCGTGCCCTAAAGCCTCTTTGAAGAGCTTCCAGCTCGTTCAGAATACAGCAGCTAGGATCTTAACAGGTACCAAAAGGAGGGAGCACATAACTCCGGTGTTAAAATCACTCCACTGGCTCCCTGTGGAGTACAGAATAAAGTTTAAAATCCTTCTCTTAACATATAAAGCCATAAATGGCTTGGCTCCTTCTTATCTCCAAGACACGTTAGTGTCGTATCAACCAGGTCGAGCGTTGCGCTCACAAAACGCCAGACGTCTGGTGGTTCCTAAGGTCTCAAAGGTCACTGTTGGCGGCAGAGCATTTAGCTCCAAGCTCCTTTACTGTGGAATCAGCTTCATTTATGTTAAGGAAGCAGATACGGTCTCTACATTCAAGGCCAGGCTTAAAGCACTCTACTTTAATTTAGCATATAGTTAGGCTGTTTGCCTGGATTGGTTTGCACACCTGGTGTGCAATCCATGAATCTTGGTGCTGTAGCCTGGGCTAGCCTAGCCGTGGCTGCTGCTGTCTCACCTCCTTTCAGATACGCTCTCTTTATTCAAGGCTAGGTTTAAAACAGTCCTCTTTAGTTTAGCATATGGCTAGGAAGGTAAGACTCAGGGAAGGTTAAACTCCTCAGACTGTCAGTCAAGCTGCATAGGGAGTCAGTTTGCTGGGAGAAGTATGGTAACTTGAGCACTATCCTCTCCTCCTTCCTACTTTACCGGTTTAGCATTATTAGTTTGTTCATTGCTATTCACCCGTTGTCCCATTGTCCGTTTCATGGTATGAAGATGGGACCTCTGGACGTGGCCTCCTCCATCTACACCTGCGGACTGCCCTGCCCGATCCGCCTGGGAGTTCTTCAGTCCTGTACCGGACGTGGACAGGTCTGGAACGTTCCACTGGTCCACGTTCTGTAGCTTAGGTCCTGGATCTATAGCCCGTCCGTCCGTGGGAGCGGATCCCTTTCTCAAACTATGGGTCTCCCCGAGGTTTCTCACTTTTTCCCAGTGGGTTTTCTTATGAGTTTTTCCTTGCCGATGCAGGAGGGTCTGTTGGGCAGTTTATGTCCAACTAGAAGGACTGTGGTGATGATCCAGGACACTTTAACATTCTACACTGCATGCAGAATTATCAGGCAAGTTTTATTTTTGAGGATTTATTCAATTATTGAACTACAAGAGTGCTTTTGATCAATGCAAAATGTTGATACATCCCAAACGTAGATATTCCAAAAAGTAAAAGTGAGTTGTTGCCAATCATAAAAATACAAAAAATATATATCTGTGTGTTCACAATTATTGGTGTGCACAATTATTATTCAGCTCAATCTCAACTCATCTATTCATTTTCATTTGTTTAAGTAATGATAATAAAACAACTCCTAATGTACAAAAATACTGCTAAAGTTTTAACAACAGAACATCAGTGGCCAATATAGCCACCCTTCTATTCAATAACACTCAAAAGCCGTCAGTTTCTTGATCTGTTGACGATCAACTTTTTGCACCGTAACAACCAACGCCTCCCAGACACTGTTCAGAGAGGTGTACTGCTTTCCTTCCCTGTAAAGGTCTGTAAGGGCCCACAAGTTCTCAACTGGGTTAAGGTCAGGTGAGCAAGGGGGCCATGTCATAATTTTTCCTTCTTTTAGGCCTTTACTGGCTAGCCAAGCAGTGGAGTATTTGGATGCATGAGATGGAGCATTGTCCTGCATGAAAATCATGGTCTTTTTGAATGATGCAGGCTTTCTCCTGTACCACTGCTTGAAAAAAGTTCCTTCTAGAAACTGACAGTAAGTTTGGGAGTTGAGTTTTAGTCCATCTTCAACCCTAAATGGCCCAACCAGCTCATCTTTAATAATACCAGCCCACACCAGTACTCCACCTCCACCTTGCTGGCGCCTGAGCCGGAGTGGGGCTCTCTGCCCATGACTGATCCAACCACAGGCACATCCATCCGGTCCATCAAGAGTCACTCTCATCTCATCAGTCCAAAATCTGTGAAAAATCTGTCTTCAGATATTTCTTGGCCCAGTCTTGACGCTTTATCTCATGTGTCTTATTCAGTGGGGGTCTTTTTTCAGCCTTTCTTACCTTGGCCATGTCTCTGAGTACGGAACACCTTGTACTTCTGGACACCCCAGGTAGGTTACAGTTCTGGAATATGACTGCACTGGAGGATAATGGGTTCCTAGTAGCCTCACGCTTGATTCTCCTCATATCTTTTGCTGTTACTTTGCGTCTTTTTGTCTCAACACGTTTCTTGCGTCCTTGTTGGTAATTTGCAACAAAGCGTTTGATGGTCCTATGATCACGGCTCAAGATCTTGGAAATTTCAGTAGTGCTGCATCCCTCTGCAAGACATTTGACAATTTTGGACTTTTCAGAGTCTGTGAGATCAGTCTTCTGGCCCATTTTGCCTGAGAAAAAGAAGCTGCCTTATAATTGTGCACACCTGATGTAGAATTTTGATCTCCTTAGGCCAGGCCCTCGCTCATTATTAAAATGCACTTCACCTGGTATGCTTAAAATCGATTGGCATTCAAGATTATACAGATTAGAGCTTGACAATGTGTATAGAATGGACAATGTCATCAAAATACTGACTTGCCTAAATTCTGCACGCACTGTACAACATGTATGGACACTTTTCAACATGTGTTCTATATTCTTGATGTGTTTTTAACTGTTGATTCTCTGACCTGTGTTGCTGATTTCAATGGTTTTGTTAAGTCCTCTGAAATTACTTCTGTTGTGATTTAGGGCTATACAAGAATAAATTGTATTGTATTGTATTGTAACACTTTATAATGACTACACCTTGATTAGGCTTAACAAATGTTGAAATAACAATCATAAACAATTCATTAATTAAGTTTGACCAACACTTAATAACTACTCAACCACTACAGTTAATAAATGCTTAACTCATGATGAATACATCTTCAAGTACTTCACTTGTTCATTGTTATTTAATAGTTTAATAATTATGAAGTAACCATTTGTTACTACATATATAGATGGTTTGTTACACCATGAATAAACCACATGTTAATGATTAATAATTGTATACATGATTATAAACTAATACTGCAGTACATGATTTATTCAGTCAGTTACTAACAGTTAGTTAAGCTGGGGGCTGTATCGGGTCCGATGCACCAGAAAAATGTTTTCACACACGTTTATTGCGGTGATTTTTGTTAATACTTTTCACAAGGAGTTGGTGGACATGTGTGCCTTTTAATATGAGCGGCATTTGTGGGAATGGTTATATTCAAAGTATTAGAGTAAAATTAGTTTGTAAAACACCTGTGGCGCAGCGGCGTGAAGCAGGAGCCGTAGTTCTGAGATGTGTGAAGCACTTTACAAATAAAAAGCTGCTATTTTAATCTACACTGTATCTATCTATAGATGGCCTGGCAAGCAAAACATTGCAGATCATTCTGTGTAAAAATGATTGATTTTAAAGATATTGTGACAATATCGTTGTCGGGAGTTGGCCATATCGCCCACCCCTAGTTCGAAGATGATGCTCCTCACTGGAACTGCTCGTGTTTACATGTGTATTTAATTCATGGGGCCAATTTTTGAGGGCTTTTTTTTTTTTTCATTGTTATGGGCCTGTTATAGCTTTGTAAAGCAATTTAAAAATATAAATAAATATATATCCTATATTCATGTCTCATGGCTTATTATTGTTATACAAAAACGTTACTCATCTTTGTGTTTTTTCTCCCAAAAACTCTTAACTGTTAGTAACTGACTAATAAGTCATGCACTGCAGTAATAATACATGATTAATTGACATACTAAAGAGTCTTTAACAAATGTGTAATAAAGTGTAAATAGTGTACACTTTACTAAAACTCACACTCTTAACTGTTAGTAACTGACTAAATAAATCATGTACTGCAGTATTAGTTTCTAATCATGTATACAATTATTAATCATTACCATGTGGTTTAATCATGGTGTAACAAATCATCTATATATGTAGTAACAAATGGTGACTTCATAACTATAATATAATTAAATAATCATGAACAAGTGAAGTACTTCAATATGAGTTGAGTATTTATTAACTGTAGTAAAGTTATTAAGTGACTGTCACATTTAATTAATGAATTTTCATGATTAATTAAGTGTTATTTAAACATTTATTAAGCCTAAATAAGGTGTAGTTATTATAAAGTGTTACCGGAAGTTCATAGCAGAATTGAGGGTCAATGGAAGCCTGCCTATACACATCAGTAAATTGTGACTCACCCAAAAGATCACCAGGGGGTAGAGGAGAGCGGAACATGCCTCTTCCAACGCCAACAGGAAGGACTTCACGTCAGACAAAGAACAGTGACTCACCTACAACAGTTATAAGAATACATTTAGATAACCTTTAAAAAAAAGGTCAATACCTTTAGCAGTAATCATTGGAACTCAAAATTGGTCAAACTATGTGAACTCAGTGACCCTTGATCTACATACACAGGTGAATCTAATTATAAGAAAGGATATTTAAAGTAGTACTAGAATTTACCATTCTGCTATCCAGAATATATAACTACAATATGTGTTTATAATATTTTGGGTGTTCATTTTGACATGTTCAGATGAATTATGTTAAAAAAACAGCTTTTTTTCACTTTTTTCACTTCCGCATAGAAACGCTAGGGGGAGCCCCAATGCAGCGTATGACGTAGGAGAATGATCTTTATTTATTTATTTATTTATTAAAGGGACAGTGCATATTAAAATACATTATGCATGTAAATAAGCCAGAATTAGCCAAAAGGCTATTTTTCATCTGTAGTCCCTGGACAGTTGTTAAGTGTCCTCCTGAAGGGAATAAAATTAAACATATCACAAACAGATAAAACATGACACAGTAAAATATATACAAGCAATACCCTCAATAACACAAATCAAACATATAGACATGAACACACAACTGTTACACACTCAACAAAGACAAGGCCAACCGGGGGCAGCGGTGAGGAGTCAGTGCTGACAGCTTTGATTATGAATGAGCCATTTTTTTACCTGTATTTTGAATGTTTCATATGTATTGGTGTTCCTAATTGTTGTGGGGGTGAGATTCCATTCATGGGCGGCTTTGACAGAATATGTTGATTGACCAAAGAGGCTTTTTCTCAGAGGGATGATGCAGTCGGCCCTTGCTGCTGCTCTGGTTCTCCTGAGTTCTGCTGTACTGATGTGAGTGAACTGTGTGAGTGGGGGTGATGACAAACCATGTATTATTTTATAGGTGAGGCAGAGATGTGAGTATTTGACCATGTTTTCCCAACTGAGTAAATGATGCTTTTGTAATATTGGACAGTGATGATGTGAGAGTGGTTTGCGGTCCAGAGTTTTTATGGTGCGTTTGTAGAGGGACAGGATGGGTTTGAGAGTTGTGACATTGGCATGTGACCAGACAGTTAAACAGTATGTTAGATGTGAAATGATCATTGCGTGCATGTACATTTTTGCTGCTTGTATTGACATTTGGGGCCGGATGTGTCTGAAGTTACTGAGGGTGAACTTAATGCGATTACTGACCATTTTAACATGAGGTTTGAATGAGAGAGTTGAGTCCAGGATTATGCCAAGATATTTGTACTGGGATACGGTCTGCAGCCTTATACCTGAAACATGAACATCAGGCACATCTGTAATAGGTTTTTTGGAGAAAAGCATTGATACAGTTTTTGAAGTCTTTAACTGTAGGCAGCAGTGCTCCAGCCATGCTGTGATGTGAACCATGGCCTGGGTGAGCTTTTCAGCCACTTGGGAAACACTGCTGCCATGAACATACAGCACAGTATCATCTGCATACATCTGCACAGAAACATTCGGGCAGGCGCACGGGGGGAGGTCATTAATATACAGGGAGAATAATAGAGGCCCCAGGATTGACCCTTGAGGCACACCAGTTGATACAGGGAGTGCAGGGGATGGGCAGTTTTGCACTGTGACATGCTGAGAACGATTATTCAAATATGACCGAATCCATTTTACAGTGTTATTGGAGAAGTTAAAGTTGTGTAGTTTAGTCAGAAGAATGTTGTGATTTACTGTGTCAAATGCCTTTCGTAGGTCAAGAAAGACTGCACCAACAACCCCTCCCTTGTCTAACAACCCTCGGATGTTCTCAACAAAGAAGCAGGTGGCAGTTTCTGTCGAGTAACCAGCTCTAAATCCAAATTGCATTGGGTGTAAGGCAAAGGAGGTGGTGTTGAGGTGTTTGATTATTTGATTTGAGACCAACTTTTCAGCAACTTTGGATATTATGGGAAGTATACTTATAGGTCTGTAATTAGCCAGGGACTGAGGGTCACCACTTTTGAATATTGGGACAACAACAGCAGATTTCCACAAGCTTGGAAACATTCCCTGCGACAAAGAAAGATTGATTATCTTGGTAATGGGTTGTGTGAGTGATGTGCGTAGATCTTTAAGCATCACAGTGTCCATACCAAAAGTATCTCTCGTTCTAGATAGCCGCAGAGAATTAATACACTGGACAACATCACTGTCCGATACACTCGTTAAACTTAGAACAGGTGCATATTCAACCACAGAGTTCAACCACAGCAGTCATGACTGGAATCTATACAGCAGCGAGTGAATTGATGATGGATCTGGGGAATAATCGGGGGTTTCACTGTCATCTGAACAAGGTAGAAACATATTTTCATCGGTTTTGTACATAATTATGGGCAAGTCTTTTAACCTTTTAGAGATATGCGAGATTCAAGCTAATTAGCTAGCTACTTGTAATGTATGACACACTACAGTAAATGGGCTTAGCTAATAGTTTGGTGTGTTTGTGGCTACATAAAATGAGCCTATGAATTCGTTTTTTGACTAAAATAAATGATCAATAAATGTAACAATATAAAGCATGATTTACACTGCGGTGTTAGAGCTTGTGAGTCACAGTGTCTGTCCTCGCTCTGCTCCTTTCGTTTAAAGACAGTTGGGACAGCATCAGGTTTTAATGTAGCCTTTGTCTTGCGTCCCAAAGACACTGCCACCGAAGTCCTGAAGTGCTCAGAACAGACACCACAGGATCTCCTGCAGCAGACTGACAGGGAAGGGCAGGTCCATCTGTTCCCCTCGTCAAATGGCTCCTTTGCCGTTGTAGGGTTTGGGAAGTTGTGTAAAGACACACTATCCTTATTTATATTAGTACAGCCGTAAGCGACGCACTTTTTCCACCTCGTTATTGGCAATAAGGCGAAGAAAAGTTTAAAAAAGCGTTTGAGTACAGTATAGTACAGAGTAGGCGCATGTTTGGATTCAGAATGTCATTCACCTACGTCACACAAAAGGGGCATGATTTTAACTGGTCATTTCAGAAAATGTAATTATTCACCTCTTTTTTTTTTTACGTCTTTTTGTATTTAATTGCATGTTATCACATTCTATGACAGATTGCTCTAAAAACGGTAAAAGACGAAGGTCAAGACGTAAATATATATAATATAGGAGACAAACACAACTTTTATTTCACTTCTGAAATATTTGTATCATTTACATAAAGTGTGCAGGAATTATTTAAACCAAAATTATACATGTACATAAATGAAGGAACCACAATATAAATATTTTGTACATCCTCCTTATGCAGAAATGACAGCCTCAAATCACACCACCTATCACTTCCAATTAGGGTCTGGATTCAGGTGGAAGGTATTTTGGACCATTCTTCTTTGCAGATCATTTCTAGTTCTATCAGGTCTGATGGGTTCTGAGCATGGACAGCCCGTTTAAAATCACACCACATTTCTTCATTAATATTCAAGTCTGGAGACTGAGATGGCAATTCTAGAACATTGTACGGTACTTATTCTTCTGCATGACAGCCATTTTTACTTAATATCAGCAGATTCTAGAACAATGTCCAGGAATTAGTGACAAAGTTCCAGACTTGAATGTTAATAAAAACATTATGTGTGATTCTGTGATTCACGGTGGCTCAGTTGGTAGAGCATTGGCCTTTGAGCCTGAAGGTTGTGGGTTCGAGCCCACCACAAGATCTACTTCCCGACTCCCATTGATGACTGCTGTCGTTGTGTCCTTGGTTAAGACACTTAACCCCACTTTGCCTGAAGCTCCCACTGAAAGATCTCTGCTCCTGTGGACTCACCACCTGTGCTGGATCAGTGAGGGGCTGGTGCTATGTGTACTGGGTGCAGCTCTGACTGCCACCCCCTACGAGGTTACGGGGAGGTCTGACAGCATAGGGAGTTATTCCACATTCTAAAACATGACGAAGGAACAAAGTTTACTGATCCTTTTAATAAAATAAAGCATAATATGTATTATTTACGTTCATAAATGTGATGAGTGTGACAACTTACAGAGATGAGTATGAAGTTACAGGTCTTTTGCAGGTGGCTACAGTGGTCTCCCAGAAGGTCAGGGACGATATCCACACCCTGGACACAAACCGTTATTAATGATATCCCATCCTGTATACAAACGTTATTAATAACGTCACATACAAGAGACAAACTTATTATTGATGTCACATTCTGGACACAAGCTGTTATTAATGAGGGTCACACTTCAAAGAGACATTATAATAAAGCCAATTAAAAGCCAGTTCACTGCCCTTTATAAAGTCACTTTACTGCCATCACCTTAAGGCACTGCTTAATGTGCAATAACTTTACTTTTAACTAAATCTTAACTAAATCTAAAGTGTTTTAGAAATGTTTTATTATGCTTTATTCTTCTCTACTTTTGACCTTCTTGCACCGAGAGCAGAAGCAATTTAGTCTTCTGTGACTTCCTATTACTTACATGGCAATAATAATTATTCTGTTTCTGATATTAATTGATTTCCTGTTGAAAACTGGTGGCCCTCTCACTGGGGCCCTCACAGAGACAGGCTGTGGTCACGTTAAGGATTATCAGCATGAGATGATTTTCAAACTGATATTGAGACTGTGATATTCTGGTGATATGGGATGCACCGATGTGGGAAATGTGGACTTTACCATGTACATCTCCAGGGCGTTCTGGAGGGACCGGGCCAGAGCCACAGCAAGAGAGCAACTACCGGTGACGGCGCACAACGATCGAGATAGAGAGTCTGCAAACTCAGATAATCCACATAAAGGAAAATGCTCCGTTAATGTGACATCACAATATTCAAAAGAGCCTATAGTTTCAGAGAGAGACCAGAGAGAGGGCAGAGAGAGTTTACGTGAGAAGAAAATAAACTAAACAAACACCTTTTATAATGCTCTCTGCAGCCGCCAAGTCTCTCCTATAGGTGACCTGAAACACAAAACACATCTTGTGATCCGCCAAGAGAAGACAAAGAACAGATCAGATATCAACGCTCTTAATATCAATCATTTTATAAAGGTGAGTGTTCACCTTCCAGAGATTGGGCGGGCCTTCAATCAGCTTGGCGTTTGTGCCACAGTACTGCAGAGCCAGGTGGAGACACTCTGTTCCAAAGTCCAGATCATGATCCGTGCACTGAGAGGACACGTTGGTCAAATACACAAGGAACCACACATGGGTAAAAAAAAACACAAGTGAGGAACCACAATTGGGTCTAATACACAGGGGTTCTCCGGTTTCCCCTACCACTAAAATCCTTGATATTGGAATGTAACTTAAGTTATCATTTTGGTAAATCATATGTGGCTATGTGCTGAATGCTCTGTATTGTAATTCACTTTAGCTTCAGGAAGACACCGGGAGGTCTGGGGAGCTCATATGCTAAGTGTCTTTTGTTGTGTTGGTTTCTTCCTTTCCCATCTGCATACGAAGGTGTGTCTTGTTCTACCAAAAGGGGCTTGCAGACTGTGAATCTTCAGACTTGTCCTGAGAGAGGCTAGGGTCTGTGCCTTGCCTCTGTCAAGACATTCTCCTTGTATAATGTAACAAGTAAAAGATTAACTTTGTCTCTTTGTTGTGTGAGATTTCATCAGGTTCAACTGTAGCTGAAACAGCATTATCAATCCTGTACAATAGGTCTGGCATGCGCCTCCTTTACTGGCAACCTCGTCCCCATCTCTGTGTGGAGTGAGACACACAAATTCCCACAATTGTATAGCGCTTTGTGACTCTGGTCTGCGAGAGGCGCTATATCAATTAGCAGTGTTGGGGAAGTTTATTTTAAAAAGTAACTTTTCACGTCACTTTACTTAGTTACACTCTAAACAAAGTAAAGTTGGTTCGTTACTTTTTTGTTACCTTTGTGTTACTGTTATTATGCTTGACTTTGTGCATAACTGTTCTTTTGTTGTGTGACACACCTCCAGAACGCTCCGTGACAGAGTCTGCCAGAATCTGTGTCCAACGACGCGCGTCAGACGCGATTTTGACGCCCAAAATGCGTTTGGTCTAAACGCAGCATAAGAGGCCATATTGGACTCTTGACAGTGGAGGGGAAGAACGGTTGTGTGTTGTTTTGTTTTTGTTTTGTGAATATTATCCGTCAAGTGCACTTGAGCCTGTACATATTGTAAATACCCCTTCTTTGCAAATCTAAACAACACAAATATTTTGCTAGCACCACAGTTGTCTGAATATTTCATACGCACTATCATTTCCTCCCAGAGAGAACTTATTTTTTAGTAGTCTTAGTAACTTTCCTTGTAAAATGGAATATAATTATGTTATTTATTTAATCAGTAACCTACTATTGCACACATGTGTTACACTAGCATAATAACAGTAACGCAAAGATAACAAAAAAACTTTACTTTGTTTAGAGTGCAACAAAGTAAAGTGATGTGAAAAGTTACTTTTTAAAATAAACTTCCGCAACACATGGGTCATATACATGAATCAAGGACCAGCAGTGACATAATTCTCACTAATATGCCATTATTTAAAGTTATTTCTTTCTAATTTAATCCAGAATGTTCTTTTGGTCAAACGTGTACAGCAGGTTAGTTTTACTGATGATGTGTTGTTGCAATAATAATCCTGCTGAATATCTATCAGACCTACCAATGAGTAAGACTAGAGAATTATTTCAACCTGGCCTACCAACTAGTGAAACCAGAAAGTTGACATCTAACAGGCCTACCAACGGGTGAGACCAGAGAGTTAACATCTCTCGGGCCTACAACAGGCGAGACCAGAGAATTAACAAATACCAGACTTACCAACAGGTGAGACCAGAGAGTTATTTCTACCAGGCCTAGAACTTAACTCTCTGGTCGCATTCTCAGACCTGATGAATATACACCAGTTTGTAGCCTTAGAAGATTTTAACTCTGTGGTCTCATCGATTGGTAGCAGTGGTAGAAATAACTGTCTTGTCTCACCCCTTTGTAGAACTGGTAGATGTTAACTCTTTGGTCACACCCGTTTCTTAGCCCTTTGGAGGCCTGGTAGATATAACTCAGGTCTAACCCATCGGCAGGCCTGATAGACGTCAACTCTGTCTCCCCCGTTGGTAGGCCAGGTGTTAACTTTCTGGTCTCTTCTGTGGTAAACCAAGCTAAGCTAATACGTTTTTGGTCTCATCCGTGGATAGGCCTTGTCAATGATATCTCACTGGTCTCGCCCATTGGTTGTCCTGGTACAGTGCCTTGCGAAAGTATTCGACCCCCTTGAACCTTTCGCCACATTTCAGGCTTCAAACAAAGATATTTAAAAAAAAAAAAAAAATTGTCAAGAATCAACAAGTGGGACACAATCGTGAAGTGGAACGAAATTTATTGGATAATTTAAACTTTTTTGACAAATAAAAAACTGAAAAGTGGGGCGTGCAATATTATTCGGCCCCTTGCGCTAATACTTTGTAGCGCCACCTTTTGCTGCAATTACAGCTGCAAGTCGCTTGGGGTATGTCTCTATCAGTTTTGCACATCGAGAGACTGGAATTCTTTCCCATTCTTCCTTGCAAAACAGCTCGAGCTCAGTGAGGTTGGATGGAGAGCGTTTGTGAACAGCAGTCTTCAGCTCTTTCCACAGATTCTCGATTGGATTCAGGTCTGGACTTTGACTTGGCCATTCTAACACCTGGATACGTCTATTTGTGAACCATTCCATTGTAGATTTGGCTTTATGTTTTGGATCATTGTCCTGTTGGAAGATAAATCTCCGTCCCAGTCTCAGGTCTTTTGCAGACTCCAACAGGTTTTCTTCCAGAATGGTCCTGTATTTGGCTCCATCCATCTTCCCATACATTTTAGCCATCTTCCCTGTCCCTGCTGAAGAAAAGCAGGCCCAAAGCATGATGCTGCCACCACCATGTTTGACAGTGGGGATGGTGTGTTCAGGGTGATGAGCTGTGTTGCTTTTACGCCAAACATATCGTTTTGCATTGTGGCCAAAAAGTGTGATTTCGGTTTCATCTGAGAAGAGCACCTTCTTCCACATGTTTGGTGTGTCTCCCAGGTGGCTTGTGGCAAACTTTAAACGAGACTTTTTATGGATATCTTTGAGAAATGGCTTTCTTCTTGCCACTCTTCCATAAAGGCCAGATTTGTGTGAATTGTTGTCCTATGGACAGACTCTCCCACCTCAGCTGTAGTTATCTGCAGTTCATCCAGAGTGATCATGGGCCTCTTGGCTGCATCTCTGATCAGTCTTCTCCTTGTTTGAGATGAAAGTTTGGAGGGACGGCCGGGTCTTGGTAGATTTGCAGTGGTCTGATACTGCTTCCATTTCAATATAAATGCTTGCACAGTGCTCCTTGAGATGTTTAAAGCTTGGGAAATCTTTTTGTATCCAAATCCGGCTTTAAGCTTCTCCACAACAGTATCTCGGACCTGCCTGGTGTGTTCCTTTGTCTTCATGGTTCTCTCTGCGCTTTAAACAGAACCCTGAGACTATCAAAGAGCAGGTGCATTTATACGGAGACTTGATTACACACAGGTGCATTCTATTTATCATCATCAGTCATTTAGGACAACATTGGATCATTCAAAGATCCTCACTGAACTTCTGGACTGAGTTTGCTGCACTGAAAGTAAAGGGGCCCAATAATATTGCACGCCCCACTTTTCAGTTTTTTATTTGATTCATGACAAAAAATACATTTTTTATATCTTTATGTTTGAAGCCTGAAATGTGGCGAAATGTTGAACGGTTCAAGGGGGCCGAATACTTTCGCAAGGCACCGTAGATGTTAACTCTCTGGTCTCACCAGTTGGAAGGCCTGGCAGATCAAACTCTTTGGTCTCAACCGTTGGTAGGCACGGCAGATATTCCCTCTTGGGTCTCATCCGTTGGTAGGCCAGATAGATGGCTCTCTCCACACTAAACTGTATCAATGTGTTACATTTTGGTCAATGACACGAAAAAGTCCCAAAATGTCTGCGGCCGTTACTGCTGAATGTTCAGAGACCCACTCTGGTTTTGATTCCAGTTTGTTTGTCCAGTGAAGGGGGCACTACTTAAACACAGATAATTCACGCCCGTACTATTAACAGCGCTCCAAGACAGTTGTTGTGGATGTAACAAAAGTGGACACGATTGTTACCTCCAAAACGCCCAGTTTATCTGCAGTTATTGAATAATATATTTTTTTTATAATGTAAAAACTATAATTACATATTTATTATAGTTATATCCCCAACCATTAAACTGTCCTGTTAATGATTCCATTCATTCCAATTATTCCTCCAACATGACACGTCCTAAATGTAACAATTATGTCCCCAAAATTCAATAAAATGTTTTGAAAGGCATCCTTTCCCCTTGAAATAGTTTTAGCTGCCCATCTGAGATTATACTAAAGTAATAATTATATATATATATATATATATATATATATAGGCTACACAGTATTAAAACATTTATTTTATTGTCGACCCATGGTACAGTTTAGTGTGGATTGAGCCAGATGTCAACTCCCTGTGGGGATGTTTACGGTCTGGTCTCAGCCGTTATAAGACCTGGTAGATAAGTCTCTGGTCTCACACTCTGCTCACCCGTTGGTATGCCTGGCTGATGACCTTGTAAGTGAAACCTTGTGGCATCTCGCTGGCTCTGTATTTCACTCGCTCCAGACTGTGGTCCAGGAATCCATCTGAAGAGGCAGCGATCACCGTGGAGACGAGCGGCCTGATCGCTCCTGCCGCCTGACAACAGAACATCAAGAAGATCAGGGTGTGGACAGGGCTGAGGCATAAGACCTGAGTAACCAGAACTGAGGCATCAGAGCTGAGGCACCACGGCTGAGCCACCACCTCAGACCCGAGTTATCAAAGCTGAGGCATCAGAGCTGAGGCACCACGGCTGAGCCACCACCTCAGACCCGAGTTATCAAAGCTGAGGCATCAGACCTGAGGCACCATCTCAGCCATGAAGGATCACATATGAGGCAACACCTTAGAGCTGAGATCTGAGTTTGATATAATTGAATAGGTTTCTTAAGATTAATTTTGTGCTGAATGGAAAGACACAACAACATGATGACTAGATTTTGACGTTCCAGGGTCCGTTCAACACACCGGCTGATGTCAAAGCTATGACTAAATGAGTCGTTCCGTTAGCCATTAGCTTAAGATCCTCAGGTAGGATTAGCCAACCACTTGTGCTCGAACACCAGTAAGGCTGCTTTCATACCGCTGACGCACATTCTCACATTTTCAGACGCAGGGGCCTACAAACTGCCCTACGACGCACTCACGCCTGCACTTATGCTTCCGCTGGAAGCGGAGGCGTGTGGGCGGGCTTTCTATATTTACAACAACTCAAGATGGCAGATCAGGTGAGGCAACTTGCGTTCGTTTTCTTGGTTCAGAGAGTCCGAAAATGGCGAGTTCTATCATTTGCTACAAGAACTGCGGCTGGATGAAGTGCGATTATAGCAGCACTTCCGTCTCTCAGTGGCCCAGTTCGATGACCTGTTGGGCCGCGTAGGTGCACGAATAACTCACCAGAACACCAACTACAGACGTTCCATCTCTGCTGCCTACTATCAGTAATAGTGTGAGTGTGTGTGAGAGAGGACCATAGACGCGAGCGCGGACCATAGACCCTGCGGACCATAGACGCGAACGCGGACCATAGACCCTGCGGACCATAGACGCGAACGCGGACCATAGACCCTGCGGACCATAGACGCGAGCGCGGACCATAGACGCGAGCGCGGACCATAGCGCGGACCATTAGACGCGAGCGCGGACCATAGACCCTGCGGACCATAGACGCGAGCGCGGACCATAGACCCTGCGGACCATAGACGCGAGCGCGGACCATGGATGTTAGCTGTTAGCTGGGTGTTAGCTGTTAGCTGGGTGTTAGCTGTTAGCTGGGTGTTAGCTGTTAGCTGGATGTTAGCTGTTAGCTGTTAGCTGGATGTTAGCTGTTAGCTGGGTGTTAGCTGTTAGCTGGGTGTTAGCTGTTAGCTGTTAGCTGGGTGTTAGCTGTTAGCTGGGTGTTAGCTGTTAGCTGTTAGCTGGGTGTTAGCTGTTAGCTGGGTGTAAGCTGTTAGCTGGGTGTTAGCTGTTAGCTGGGTGTTAGCTGTTAGCTGGATGTAAGCTGTTAGCTGTTAGCTGGTGTTAGCTGTTAGCTGGGTGTTAGCTGTTAGCTGGATGTTAGCTGTTAGCTGGGTGTTAGCTGTTAGCTGGGTGTTAGCTGTTAGCTGGATGTTAGCTGTTAGCTGGGTGTTAGCTGTTAGCTGGGTGTTAGCTGTTAGCTGGATGTAAGCTGTTAGCTGGGTGTTAGCTGTTAGCTGGATGTTAGCTGTTAGCTGGATGTTAGCTGTTAGCTGGATGTTAGCTGTTAGCTGGGTGTTAGCTGTTAGCTGGATGTTAGCTGTTAGCTGGGTGTTAGCTGTTAGCTGGATGTAAGCTGTTAGCTGTTAGCTGGATGTAAGCTGTTAGCTGTTAGCTGGATGTAAGCTGTTAGCTGTTAGCTGGATGTAAGCTGTTAGCTGTTAGCATAGCGTTTTCTGTTAGCTGGTGTTAGCTGGTGTTTGCTGTTAGCTGGGTGTTAGCTGTTAGCTGGATGTTAGCTGTTAGCTGGATGTTAGCTGTTAGCTGGGTGTTAGCTGTTAGCTGGGTGTTAGCTGTTAGCTGGGTGTTAGCTGTTAGCTGGGTGTTAGCTGTTAGCTGGGTGTTAGCTGTTAGCTGTTAGCTGGGTGTTAGCTGTTAGCTGGGTGTTAGCTGTTAGCTGGGTGTTAGCTGTTAGCTGGGTGTTAGCTGTTAGCTGTTAGCTGGGTGTTAGCTGTTAGCTGGGTGTTAGCTGTTAGCTGTTAGCTGGATGTTAGCTGTTAGCTGGATGTTAGCTGTTAGCTGGGTGTTAGCTGTTAGCTGGGTGTTAGCTGTTAGCTGGGTGTTAGCTGTTAGCTGGATGTAAGCTGTTAGCTGGGTGTTAGCTGTTAGCTGGGTGTTAGCTGTTAGCTGGGTGTTAGCTGTTAGCTGGATGTTAGCTGTTAGCTGGATGTTAGCTGTTAGCTGGGTGTTAGCTGTTAGCTGGGTGTTAGCTGTTAGCTGGGTGTTAGCTGTTAGCTGGATGTAAGCTGTTAGCTGGGTGTAGCTGTTAGCTGGGTGTTAGCTGTTAGCTGGGTGTTAGCTGTTAGCTGGATGTAAGCTGTTAGCTGGTGTTAGCTGTTAGCTGGGTGTTAGCTGTTAGCTGGTGTTAGCTGTTAGCTGGGTGTTAGCTGTTAGCTGGATGTAAGCTGTTAGCTGGATGTAAGCTGTTAGCTGGGTGTTAGCTGTTAGCTGGGTGTTAGCTGTTAGCTGGGTGTTAGCTGTTAGCTGGATGTAAGCTGTTAGCTGTTAGCTGTTAGCTGGTTTTCTGTTAGCTGTTAGCTGGGTGTTAGCTGTTAGCTGGGTGTTAGCTGTTAGCTGGATGTTAGCTGTTAGCTGGGTGTAAGCTGTTAGCTGGGTGTAAGCTGTTAGCTGGGTGTAAGCTGTTAGCTGGATGTAAGCTGTTAGCTGGATGTAAGCTGTTAGCTGGATGTAAGCTGTTAGCTGGGTGTAAGCTGTTAGCTGGGTGTAAGCTGTTAGCTGGGTGTAAGCTGTTAGCTGGGTGTAAGCTGTTAGCTGGGTGTAAGCTGTTAGCTGGGTGTAAGCTGTTAGCTGGATGTAAGCTGTTAGCTGGATGTAAGCTGTTAGCTGGGTGTTAGCTGTTAGCTGGATGTAAGCTGTTAGCTGTTAGCATAGCGTTTTCTGTTAGCTGGTGTTAGCTGGTGTTTGCTGGACGTTAGCGGGTGTTTTTTAGAATTCTAAACATTAGTGGAAGTTGTACTGAGTTCAGGGTTCGCACAGTGATAATCTAAAAGTGATATTAGCCTATATTTTGATGTATTTCAATGGATAAGCTGTCTGGAACGTTTAAAGTGTAGACTGGCGAGACTGGCATGCTCCCGGTCAGGGTCACAGCATGTTAAATGAGTTATACTGCAACACTTTCTTGGGCCAGAGCGCATCCAATTTAATTAATGTGTCTTTAATTGTTTATATTATTTAAAGCGTTAGTTCCTTGAAAAAGTTCCCATTTTACCTTGAAAGTGCTTGAAAACTACTTGCATTTTACACTTCAAAAGCTATACAAACCCTGTGACTAGTATGATGTGAAACATTTCCAGAGCAATAATGTTGAAAAGGAAGAGGAGAACATCACCTTTAGATGATGCAAGGACTTGTATACTGTCAGCAAAGGACAAGCCAGGATGTGTGGAAAAATTCATTGATTGTTACAAAGGTAAGTGACACTGAAGGTGTTTAGTATTGCAATGAACAATGGAGAGTTAGCCAGTGCATATTATTATTTTTATTTATATTTTTAAATCCTGCAAATGGCAAATAAACTAACTTCTACTTGGACTGGACAAACTCTGCGCCTTTGAGAAGAACCTACACTAAAACTATCTGGTTTATCCATGGAAATAAGGTGTTTTATGCCAAACTGTACAAGATTACAGACCAAAACAAACAAACAAACGTATAATATATAAACAAACAAATGGCTCTTATTATTCCAACCTGCCTCTGGCTGCACTAATCCTAAAAAAAACCTTTCAAATAGGCAGTGCTGCAAAAAAAATATATATACAAATTCTAAATAAATTTTATTATAAAAGATCAATATTTCTTTTTTTTGCACACATTTATTTACACCACATTTAAGATGATAATTATTCAGCATGTAGTAGAAGACAAAAGGTTCCTTCTATTTTAATTGTATGTTCTTATAGGAAGAGGAGTCTACGCTTCTGAGCCAATTGAAGCAGGTGCTTTTATCCTGGAGTACAGGGGTGAATTATTATCCATGGAAAAATGTCACTCAAGACACTACTCTGACATTGAGAGCACCTTTCTGTTTGATTTTGAATGGCAGAAACGTCATTGGTGGTAAGCTTTTGTTTTATAAAGAAGACAATTGAATTTAAAACTTTAAACCGTATTCTTAATAATTAAAGGTGTTTTAACTTGGTAATTCCACATATTTTTAATTTTAAATTAATCAACATTGTGTCTGTTGTCACATTTCAAATGTCATCTAAAATTACCTCTACCTTCGAACATTTGGTATTTATGACTAGCATGGCGGTCAAAACTGCTGAAAATATGGCATTTAAATCCATCCAATTGTGAATATATCTGAAATGTTGGTATGATGTACCAGAATTTCAGAAGCTATAATTTGCAGACACTGTGTGGATCTACTCCTGTCCTCTCATGAAGTACAAAGCTGCAGATGTTTTGACAAATCCCTTCAATCATTAATATTTAATGTTGAATGTTTGTATGTTTTAAAATTAGAATTTGGATCTCACGCAGTTATTGACAGTTGTACATAGTAGTATGAAGTTTAATGGGCCTTCTTTGCATTCACCTTTTTAGTATTGATGCTTCCAAAGAAGATGGATCCCTGGGAAGATTGGTCAATGACAACCACAAGTCACCAAACTGTGTCATGAAAAAGATAACCGTGAACAACAGGCCTCATTTGTGTTTGTTTGCGGTGAAACAAATTGAAACAGGGGATGAAATTGAATACAACTATGGAGACTCAAAATGGCCCTGGCGGGGAAAGGTATTTTTTGTTTGTTTGACTTTGTCCTCAGATTTTAAAATAAGTGTGTGTGTAAAATGTGGTTAAAATAATGATTGAGTTCTAAGTTATGTTGTTGTATTTTCTATGAATTACAGGTGGCAGTGGGTCCAGATATTGTAGCAGCAGTCCAGACTACCACGCCCTATCCGGATCAGACCTCCCAAGACTATTCAAAGAGGGATGGAGTTAAACAGGTGATACACTCATTCATTCTGTAGTCAAGTATGTGTTGACCTCTCTACTGTCCTTTTCAAGGTAGGATTGTGATGACATTGCTTTAATCATACAGGCTTTCATTCATGGTTTCTCATGATTACCACATTATCTGTTTAGTCTAAATATTAAAGAAGTAAGCTACATTTTTCAGTTAATATAAGTCTTAAATAGTCATGTTGCAATTGCAATCACTTATATAGTGTTTGGAAAAGTAGATTTGGTATGAATGACAATGTGTCATTACATTTGATAATCTCATTTGACTTCAATTGGAGTGGATTTGAAATAGAATGTTAAAAATGCAATTAATCTTGAGTTAACTCACCATAACTATATGATTAATCAACAAAAATACATTAATCGCTTGACAGCCTTAAGTAAAGTGAATTTTTATGAACAATTTAAAAAATAAATCTGGTCTAGCTTCTTTTAACGGTGCTTCCGCATCGGCAAACAGGCTATAGCTGCACTTGTTTATAGTCACGGGAGAATGAGAACCAAGGCTGGAGGCATATGTTCACAAGCGCTAACCCCCATTGTCAATCTTGGTTTAGTCCTGGTTTGGCTGTTTACTAGTGTCTTCAGTCTTCTTGCTCTGACCGCTAGTGTCCCCTTGACCACTGTGCCGCACTCTGATTGGTTGCCACAACCATAGACTGTACAGTCAAAGAGGACCATGTGTAGGGATGAGGGTGAGTCTGCAAGCTTACTGCTGCTTTAAAAGCAACTTTAGCATCACACTCATTGTCATCCGTGGGGCCCACACACTCTTGTTTGTAGAATAATCTTTATGAATCCTGGAAACACACCACTGATGACTTTTACACACTCATGGGGCCCTCCGTCTGGAGCTAACACTGAGTGATCACATGACTTAAGGAAAGCATTTCCTTGGACTTAAACTGCACTACTTAAGAGCTCTCAGTTATGTTGTTGTATTTTCTATGAATTACAGGTGGCAGTGAGTCCAGATCGAGTAGCAGCAGTCCAGACTACCACGCCCTATCCGGATCATTCCACTTTGAATTCTCTTGTGAGTATGAAATGAATAAGTGTATTACCGTTTTTTTAACTCCAGCCCTCCCAACTATGTGTTGACCTCTCTACTGTCCTTTTTCATGGTAGGATTTGTGATGACATTGCTTTAATCATACAGGCTTTCATTTATGGTTACTCATAATGTGATGCTGTATAATTGTTATTGTGAGATTGACATTTATCTGTTTAGTCTTATGTTAATTGAGCCCATTTAGCATCATACACCCGTGTATTGTCATCCGTAGGGCCCACACACTCTTGTTTGTAGAATAATCTTTATGAATCCTGGAAACACACCACTGATGACTTTTACACACTCATGGGGCCCTCCGTCTGGAGCTAACACTGAGTGATCACATGACTTAAGGAAAGCATTTCCTTGGACTTAAACTGCACTACTTAAGAGCTCTCAGTTATGTTGTTGTATTTTCTATGAATTACAGGTGGCAGTGGGTCCAGATATTGTAGCAGCAGTCCAGACTACCACGCCCTATCCGGATCAGACCTCCCAAGACTATTCAAAGAGGGATGGAGTTAAGCAACAGGAAAAAACTGTAATAATTTGTGGTTTCTACAGAATGACTAGGAGACCTTTTCAAGGTGCTCAACAGCTGTTCACCAACAGCAGGAACATTGTGAAAACAGTCCGAGCAGGAAGATTATCCATAATCCCACTCACGTATAATTGCCTAGTTTTAAATGAGAGATTTTTATCTATGTGTTACTGCATTGACACAAATGCAGTACAGTATCCTGTAGTACTGTGATGTACACTATACAGTAGTACTGTAATGTAAAATATACTGTAGCACTGTGATGTATTGAGTTGATATTATTTGTAACCTTTTAGTTCTACTGAGAACAAAAACAGTTCCATTGAGCTTCACAGAAAACTAACTGATAAACAGAATAAAAACAGTGAAAATGACTGCAGTGTTTTATATAAAGTACTGCAGTGTTTTGCTTCCAATCTGAAAGTGTGTTCACATGAGTGTGTGTCATTTTGTCCTAAGAGTTTAATTTTGACGAATGATTGTTTAATTTTGAGAGCAGAGTTTGAGATCTGAAAGCAGGGCTTGAGTTTTGATAAAGGAGTTTCATTTTGACACAGATGTGTCTGGTTTATGTCCCAGTGTTGTGTCAGGTTCTCGTGTGTGTAGAGTTTTGGGACTATGAGCGAAATTTTGCAAACTGTGTTCAAGCAACAGGAAAAAACTGTAGGGCGACCCGAGTCAGAGATTTCTCATTCACTGTATGCGCTCACAGAAGCAACCACAGTGAATATGCTAATGCTCAGTTTACACACCAGGCAACTGCTGATGGACCACAGATGCAAAATATAGCAGTTTCAACTTACGCAATGTTCAAGATCTTTTTACTTGCTTAGAATTTACTTTTTGCAGTGCAGTACTGTAAATACTGTAGGTACAGTCTGCAGTAGAGAGTTAAAGACATGTTTCCATCTGAAGGTCCTGAAGATGGAGCTGAAGCTGGACTCTTTGCTTCCCTCGGTGTGAGGCCCCTGGTTTATCACACGGTCCACCAAAGTTACTCTAATGTAATCAAAAATATTGTGTTGTTTTTGTCCTCTTTAACTCCTTGTCTTCCTCTTCCTCTACCTCTTGCTCTTCCTGCCTAAAGACTTGCAAAGTTCTGAAAATAGCTAAATAGAGGCCTGTGTATGTCTGGCCGATGTGTGTCACATTTTGTAAGTCAGTGTTTTCGAGTGTGTGTCTCAGTGTTGTCTATCACACAATGTGTTGGGTATTTTGAATAGATGTGCTTTCCCAATGATAAATCAGAATTGCATTTATGAACAAAGTGTCTTAGGTATGACACAGTGTGTAGTGAGCAGGAGAAAGTGTGTTGCAGAAGGAGAAAGTGTGTTGCAGAAGGAGAAAGTGTGTTGCAGAAGGAGAAAGTGTGTTGCAGAAATGAAAGAAAAGTGCAAAGCAGTACTTTTGTTTAAGGAAAGGTCAGACTGTGTTTTAGGTTTAGAACAAAAGCTTCAGGTTCTGTAACTTTGTTCTAAGCATCTGTCCATAGTGTTCAAGCAACAGGAAAAACTGTAATGGAACTGTTTTTGTTCTCAACAAAGGTTTATCAACAACCACAAATGAAAGTACTGAAAATTTACAAATAATATCAACTCAATACTGTATATCACAGTACTACAGTATACTTTAAGGTACAGTACTACAGTATACTGTACTGCATTTGTGTCAATGCAGTTACACATACATAAAAATAAAATCGAATGTAAAACCAGGCAATTGTTCGTGAGTGGAATTAAGGATCATTGTTCCTGCTCGGACTGTTTTCACAATGTCCCTGCTGTTGGTGAACAGGTGTTGAGTACCTCCAGAAGGTCTTCTAGTCATTCTGTAGAAATATGCAACCACAAATTGTTACTACTGGTTTAGTTGTTTTGTTTTGTGTTTTGTGTTTTTTTTTTTTTTTTACAGTACACAGTGCTGTGACATCTCAAATGTGCACTATGTACTTTACTCACAAAACTACCATTTTTTCAGAAGAAGCAATAGCCAACTCTCACAATACAGAATATGTGATACAGTAAAGTACTGTAAATACTGTAGATACCGTCTGCAGTACAGAGTTACAGTACATGTTGGAGACATGTTTCCATCTGAAGGTCCTGATGATGAAGTTGTAGCTGGACTCTCTGCTTCCCTGAGTGTGAGGCCATGATTGATCACATGATCCAGCAAAGTTGCTCTTAATGTCATCAGAAATATCTTCAACCACTTCCTCCTCCTCTCTCCTCGTCTTCCTTTTTCTCTCTCTTGCTCTTCCTACCTTCATACTTTAAAAGTTCTGAAAATGGCTTAGCTGAGGCCTGTTTATGTCTGACTGATGTGTGTTGCGTGTGTGTCTCAGTGTTTTCAGTCACACAATGTGTTTGGTATTTTGAATAGATGTGTTTTCCCAATGATAACACAAGATTGCATTTATGGACAAAGTGTCTTATGTATGACATTGTATGTAGTGAGTAGGAAAAAGTGTGTTGCAGAACGAGAACTTGTGTTGCAAAAGGAAAAAGTGTGAATTGTAGAAATGAAAGTAAAGTGCAAAGCAGTACTTTTGTTTAAGGAATGGTTGGACTGTGCTTTAGGTTTAGAACAAAAGTTTCAGGTTCTGTAATTTTGGTCTAAGCATCTGTCTATAGTGTTCAAGCAACAGGAAAAAACTGTAAGTCCACGGTAGCAACCATGGAGCTATTATTACTGTGGTGACGGTGAGAGTAGTAACTGCCTTGATCCAGTAGGGGGCAGCAAAGTACCGCATTACTGTGGCGACGGTGAGAGTAGTACCTGCCTTGATCCAGTAGGGGGCAGCAAAGTACCGCATTACTGTGGCGACGGTGAGAGTAGTACCTGCCTTGATCCAGCAGGGGGCAGCAAAGTACCGCATTACTGTGGCGACGGTGAGAGTAGTACCTGCCTTGATCCAGTAGGGGGCAGCAAAGTACCGCATTACTGTGGCGACGGTGAGAGTAGTACCTGCCTTGATCCAGTAGGGGGCAGCAAAGTACCGCATTCGGCACAAGCCACTCGCCACTGTCTACAGTGTGCGTCTCCTGCCGCTCACAAGAGTCTAAATACACACTTTATTTCGCTGTAGTGACCGCTCTACTCGTCCAATTCTCTTCCTTTTATCTGCACCATGTCGACCCCCAAGAAAGGAGACCTGTCCCCGAGTGAGAAGGAGCTGTTCGCGATTATCACAGGGGGTACGTTAGCCATGTTAAGCCTCTTGTGCTAATGCTAATCCCAATGTTATACATAGGGCTAGCTAGTCCTGTTAGCATCAGCATGTTTGATGTCTAATATTATTAAGTGACTGCATAAACGTATGCAGTCTTATATCTTCCTCTAGATTTCGTTCGATTTAATAACCTCCAATAGGGGCTATTACTTTTGGTATATGCATCTTTTGTAGGGACTCGTGCTTAATATTTAGATATCTTTTGTACATGTTAAAATATTTACTTACAATGGTACTTCCTATTCTTTGTTAGTGGGCCTTTTAAAAATCTTTTAGTTTTAGTGTTGAATGTTTTTGATATTTTGATCTCTGTAATGTTTGTAACTTTATAGTAGTAAGATTTAATACTTCTTAGTCTTAGAGTATTTGCAGTACTTCAGTTCTTTCAAGTACTTCTAACGCTTAAATATAAACTATTTTCTAAAGTTGCTATTTCTTTCGCTTTTCTTATCTTCAAAACAATGTGCACCTTTTATAGTATTTGTAGTATGCGCAGTACAAGTTTTACTTTTCCATATTTTTTACAAATGGGGCTCTTTATTTTCTTTTAGTGTTGTTGGTTTAAGTGTTTTGTTTTCTTTTTATTGTATGCATAGTGTAATGGGGTATAATAGCGTAATTGGGGTGTAATCATATTTTGTAGTACTTTGTTTTTGTTTATGGTATGCAGTCACTCACAATGGCTTTAGCTAATTATACTTATTATTATGCAATGCTCTTTAATCATTATCAGACAATGACACATGCTGCTAGTTGTAGTTTCTTATAATAAAATGTTGAGTCAACAGCTCACCACATAAGTTCTGTAGGTGGTTTTTACACAGAGACACTGCAACAGTAAAGGGTTAGGGAGTTGGGTATCGGTTTGGCCTTCGTTTACATGAAGACGGTGTGGCAAGTGTTGGGAAACAGCCTCCAGAGAGGACCAGAACTGATACGAAAAAGGTGTGAATTCTCTGACTGGAATGACCTTCCCCGCACGTACAGTTGGACATTCGCAGTAGCCGAGAACAAACATAAACATCAATGGCGGCGGGTCAACTATCTCAGGGCGACCGTAGCTCAGTTGGTAGAGCATTGGCCTTTGAGCCAGAGGGTCGTGGGTTCGAGCCCAACCTTCACCATCGACTCCCACTGTCTGCTGTCGTTGTGTCCTTGGGCAAGACACTTAACCTCTGGGAACACCAGCCACAGTGGGGCAGCTGCGGCTGTAAAGTGCCAAACTGCCGTTGTGTCCTTAGGCAAGACACTTCACCCCCATTGCCTAGAATGAGTCTGGTGTGTGTAAGAATGGTTGGTGGTGATCGGAGGGGTCAATGGCACATACTGCATCTGTCAGTGTGCCCCAGGGCAGCTGTGGCTACAGTAGTTGTTTATCACTACTGTGTATGGAGTGAATGAATAATGACATATAAAGCGTCTTTGAGTGTCCAAAAAAGCGCTATATAAAACTAGAGATGCACCGATCCAGCTTTTTTACTACCGATACCAGAGGTATGGGTTTCTGCCGATACCGATACCGGAAATGATCATGCTAAAATGTATTTAATAATTGAACTCTTTGTTCAAGTAACTGCAAAAGCAGTGGATGAACTAAAGCGCTAAACTTTCCAGATAAAAATGGATTTAACATAAATGTGCAGTACTGCAACTATAAAGAGCTGCTCAATGTTCACATTAAACATTCAACTCTGTATTAGACCTTATACATTTACTGAATATAAATGTACTTATATTAACTGTGTTTGAATAAAAAAACACTTACAACAAACAAAACACGCTGCATGAAAATGTAAATAAATAATAGTACCTAATAGTATTTAAGTGGATTTCAGATATGTATTTGGCGACAGCATGGACCTGGGTTCCAAATGGTCTATGGGGCTGCGAGCCCATGATGAACTCCAACACTTTGGGGTTGTTGCTGAAAAGCTTTTTGTGACGCTGCGTCAGTGTCATCTGTGTCTCGTTGTTTACACGTAATCTCCTTTCGATGCAGAAACTCCCCGTGCTGTTTCTCGTGGTGCTTAGTCGTGTTGTATTTCGCTGGTTTACCGCCGCGAGAACAACGCTCTGTCCTGCTCCACGCTGTGTTGTTGTTGTTGTAGAGCGCCACGAGGAAGTGACGTGTACGTGAGATCTGATAAATTACTTTTAATTCATTCATTTTATACGTATATGTACATTATGCACAATGTATTTTAAGACATTGTGCGGTACCTGGTATGTATTAAAAAAAAATATAATTTTAAAATAAAAAGAAAAGAAAATGGATCGGCAGCACGGCGCCTCTCTCTACGCAGATATCCGATCCAGTATTTTTTCTGGTATCGGCGCCGATATCGATACCAGTATCGGATCGGTGCATCCCTATATACAACCGATGCATTATTATTATTACTACGTATGCTTCGAGCTCTACACAGAAAATTATACTCCTCGTCCGTCCAAACAAAACCACGCGAAGCTGTAGTTTCAGTTTCCCTTTTAGCTGCTGTTGTTAAATGCATGAATGATGTTGTTGCATTCTTTCACGCCATTGCGGTGGCCCGAGGATGATGTTGCGGAAGTGGTGTTGTCAACTTCCACTGCCCACTACTGGCCGGGACACTAGACCTACATGGTTTTCTGTCGTCGTCTAAACGCTGTGCACTTAAAATAAGGAGCCTGGTCATTTTTGCTAATTGCTTTCTGTTTATATCTAAATATTTCAAAAGTATTTACAGATTTTATTTAATTGTATCTATTTACCTTTTTTACTGTTTTTATCACTGCTGTTCTTGTGGGCATTTCCCCAATCTCATACAAATATGGTTATGAACTTCTTTTGTGTTTGTAGGTAATGAACAGGAGGCTTCCCGTCTGCTGGGCTGTAAAGCTGTGAGGGTCAACTGTCTGGATGAGGTAAATGGACAACAGTAACAATAGTTGCCAACCGAATTATGTATTGCCGCTTTTCCACAGTAACAGTATGGTACGGTACGACACGACACGTTACGGCACGGCCGAGTTCGGGTGGGTTTGCATCTAAAATAGTACCTCTTAGTATCTCCTCAGCGTTGTCAGACCACGTCATTTTCGCGCGACGCGTAACTAGTAACATTGGTGCGATGCATGGATTTATTATAATATTGGTGATAGCTGGTTATTACCTCCGAGGGGACTCTGCTTACCCCCTGCAGAACTGGCTTCTAAAACCTTTTCAGGACACCGAGTGACAGACTAACAGCAAGTATTTAATAGAAAATAAAGCACAGCGCGAGTGTTTGTTGAAAATGCTTTTGGCAGTCTTAAAGGAATGACCTGGACACTGAACATGTGAAGTCAATGATGCTGACCTGCTCTGGACAATCTGCGAAAACCACGGAGAGACCTGTGACAGAATGGGACACACCTGTAGCAACAGCAGCTGTGTAGCAGTGGTTGCAGAGGAGGAGGGCTATGCGATGCGTCGCTTGTCATATGCCTAAACATTTATTTTGACCAAAAATAAAACCTTTTTGTATTTACCAAATGTCCCCATCCTTGTTCATAAATTTACCAAGGTTATACAGATTTACTGACCAAATATAATGTATGTAGTAAAAGTACATAAGCATATGGTAGGAAATCGTAACTTTTGAACCCCTTTTCTGCATGTGTACAGACAAATGAATGAAACAAAGTCTTGATACAATCACAGATTTATTAAAAACAAAAGTAAAGTGTAAAACCAACAGTTTACAAAGTCCAAAGTACGTATACTGAGACCAGGTCCAGATGAGGAGAATGTTAAGTACTCCGGTCACTCATTGCTTGTTGGTAATCTCACTTGTGGGAAGAGATTCTCAAACAAATATACACACGACAACTGAAGTACAAGCACAAAACAAAAGGGCAACACGTGAATACTGCAGATAATAAGAGATAAAGCACAGGAAGGACGTTAGCTTAGCTTGCTATCGATAGCTAAATGAAGCTAAATGTAGCTAGCTCACTTTGTACAACAGTCAATCAAACATATACACGAGTAAATAATTTTCAGTGAGAGCTTTGGGCCAACGGGATACCATACAGTTATTTCCAGGATTACCACAGACTAGTCACAAATCCAGAGCAATCTCCCTGAAAACCTTGTGAAACCTCCGTGTTGAGCCTCGTGCTGCTTTTGATTTCTTTCTTTCAGGCTAAAGAGAGTAACGTGTGGACCTCGTCCACCGACCAGGACGCTGACTTTCGTGGCTTTTTGTGCGATTCCATTTCTCTGGAGCAGCGGTGCTCAATACGTAGATTGCGATCTACCAGTCGATTGCAAAGGTAGTATTGGTAGATCGCATTACAATAAAAAAAAATCCGTTTATGTATTTGCGTGTAGACAGAGATAACCGGAGTTTTGCGTTTTTGCACGCCACAGTATGCCCCCAAAACAACAATAAATAAAACATGCGACCTGATCACTGAAGAATGGATCTTACTGCCTTAAAAACTGCTTCCACATTAGAGAGCAGCAAAGTGATCACGGGGACTCACGCTCGAAAAAAACCAAAACAGGAGCTAAACCAGGACTAAACAAGGGCTGAGGACGGGGGTCAGTGCTTCTAAACATGTCTTCACCAGGGATCTATAATAATATGTCTTCACCATGAGTTTCTACTATGAGTGTAAGTGCCGCTACAGAAGTGCCGGCGTCTGCATCAAAGCTCCGCCCACTTCTGTGGTTTTTCCCCAACGTAGGACAGGACGTCAGAGGACGCACATATTTGGAATGTTATGAATGTCATTGAAAACGCAGAGTCATGCGGTAAATCAACATACATTGTAGATATAAAGAATCCTCAATATATTTAGAAATAAATATATGTTTTGCATTTTTGTAGTAGGTAGATCATTTTGACTTGATCATTTTATTAGTAGCTCGCATGCTGAAAAAGTGTGAGCACCCCTGCTCTGGAGTGATTTTAAAGATGGCGGGGTTGAGTTGTGTTTATCAAAGAGTCGGACGTTGCTTCCAGTGACAGCACTCGTTGACTAATCAGTGTAAGGCAGTCAGCCGACGTCACGTCATGGTATCGGTACGGCGCAGATGGAACCACAGTCGAGGTGGTACAAAAAAAGTACGCAAACTCCGATACCAACATTAGTGGAAATGCCTGGGACATGTGTGTGAGACATCAAATCTGAAGAGGTTGTGGCCTCATGTCAAAACCACATGCCATTTAAGTCCCTCACTCTGACAGCAGTGACCCACAACTTTTTATAGTCTCAGCCCGGCTTGAATCTCAGCCCGGCCCGAGTCTTTGCCCCCCGAGTTTGGGTCCCCGAGTCTTGTCTCTAAGTCTAACCCTGTTTCACCCTGTTAAACCCTGTTCCAGTACGGGATGACCCCTCTGATGCACGCCGCCTACAAAGGAAAAGCCGACATGTGTAAACTGCTGCTCCAACACGGAGCTGATGTGAACTGTAACCAACATGAGCACGGGTATACAGCACTCATGTTCGCCGGCCTGTCAGGTACGACCTAACCCTAGCCTGTCAGGTACGACCTAACCCTAGCCTGTCAGGTACGACCTAACCCTAGCCTGTCAGGTACGACCTAACCCTAGCCTGTCAGGTACGACCTAACGCTAGCCTGTCAGGTACGACCTAACCCTAGCCTGTCAGGTACGACCTAACCCTAGCCTGTCAGGTACGACCTAACCCTAGCCTGTCAGGTACGACCTAACCCTAGCCTGTCAGGTACGACCTAACCCTAGCCTGTCAGGTACAACCTAACCCTAGCCTGTCAGGTACGACCTAACCCTAGCCTGTCAGGTACAACCTAACCCTAGCCTGTCAGGTACGACCTAACCCTAGCCTGTCAGGTACGACCTAACCCTAGCCTGTCAGGTACAACCTAACCCTAGCCTGTCAGGTACAACCTAACCCTAGCATGTCAGGTACGACTAACTCTAGCCTGTCAGGTACGACCTTAACCTAACCAGTCTGGTTTGACCTAACCCTTACCTGTCTGGTACAACTTAACCCTGACTGTGTGAGACAGTCTGGAGCGACCACAAGCTTATACACGTCCCCTAACCTGCTGCAGGAAAGACTCACATCACCGCCATGATGTTGGACGCTGGAGCAGAGACGGACGTGGTCAACTCTGTGGGCAGAACAGCAGCACAAATGGCAGCATTTGTCGGTAAGAATACGTTTATGTACAGTAGATTTATCTGAAGAGGAGACAAGCCAGCAAATACATTCAAGAGCACAGGGAAGAACCTTGCTGATGTTGAGCTTGTGTGAAAATCTCTCTGGTCTCTCCCTATGGTCTCTCTCGGGTCGCTCTCTCGGGTCTCTCTCTCGGGTCGCTCTCTCGGGTCGCTCTCTCGGGTCTCTCTTGTGTCTCTCTCTGGTCTCTCTGCCTGAGCCTGCGTGAAAATCAAACAAGGATGCTGCATAAGGCTTTGTCTGCTCCGCAGAGAAGATCAAAGTGGTCCCCCTTTGATAGATAGATACTTTATTGATCCCCCATAGGAGAAATTCAAGTGTCCAGTAGCAGCTAAAATGAAAATAAAATTTATCATTCTATAAACATAATAATAGTAATAATCAGCAACAGCCCTTAAGGTCACAGCAGCGCAGGTGGAGTTGCCTTTAGGTGGAGCAGAATGGGTCACAGCAGCACAGATGGAGTAGCCTCTGGGTGAAGGACGGGTCGCAGCAGCCCCTATTGAGTAGCCTCTGGGTGGAGCAGGACGGGTCAGAGCAGCATAGATTGATTGAGTAGCCTCTGGGTGGAGCAGGATGGGTCACAGCAGCAGAGATGGAGTAGCCACTGGGTGGAGCAGGACAGGTCAAAAGGTGGAGTACCCGCTTGATTCTGACCCTTTTGTCCCTCTCAAGGCGATGTGTTTTCCCTATTGTTGTGGCTGTCTCCTCTCCACTCTTATCTACATTCCTCCGGCCAAGGCCACTGATAAACTGGTTCCTCCAAACTACAGTGCCTTGCGAAAGTATTCGGCCCCCTTGAACCTTTCAACATTTCGCCACATTTCAGTCTTCAAACATAAAGATATAAAATTTTAAATTTTTGTCATGAATCAACAACAAGTGGGACACAATCGGGAAGTGGAATGAAATTTGTTGGATAAATGTCCTAAATGATCCATTTAGGACAACATTGGATCATTCAAAGATCCTCACTGAACTTCTGGACTGAGTTTGCTGCACTGAAAGTAAAGGGGCCGAATAATATTGCACGCCCCACTTTTCAGTTTTTTATTTGTTAAAAAAGTTTAAATCATCCAATAAATTTCGTTTCACTTCACGATTGTGTCCCACTTGTTGTTGATTAATGACAAAAAATATTTTTTTTATATCTTTATGTTTGAAGACTGAAATGTTGAAAGGTTCAAGGGGGCCGAATACTTTCGCAAGGCACTGTACACACCACTTTGCAGCTCCAGCACGGATCCCGCTCCCCCTGCCTCCCTCTACCTCTCCATCTTGCTCCCTCCCTCCCCTCCACTCCTCACTGTCTTTCCGGCTCACACCCTCCCTGACCCTGCCCCCCTCTGATAGCCACATTGGGCCGGAAGTGGAGGTGCTCATCCCGAGAAAAAAATCAGTGTTTTATACAAAGCACAATTTGTCTATCCAATTGTCCGTGAAACTGTGTTATTGCTCTCTGCTGTTTCTTGCTTGCACACAGCGCCGCAAATGGCGAAGTGGCACGCTCTCTGCCAAAACAATTTCCAAGTGGTAACTTTTGTTTGTTACTTACGTGGCAATAAAAATTATTCTGCTTCTGATTCTGATTTTCTCTGCTCTAGTCCAAAGTAAAATGCTAAATGCTTCATTAGCATTTTCCAAAATGTTAGCATTCCTCCAGGGGATTTTCACCTGATCCGCTTGGTTCGGACCATGAATCCTCTCCGCTCCGGGCTGGACCAGTGTAAAACCATGAACACTGTACTGCAGCAACATCTCAGGCAGAAAAAAGCAAGAAAAATAATTGATTGACTAAGCACAAAACAACAACTGTTTTAGAGCTACTTAGGACTGAAAAGGTTTTAAAGTAACACTGAATAGGGTTAGGCCCTGTCCCAATTCTGAGGGCACTCATGTTGTGAGGGCCCTCAACAGAAGAGTGCACTCCCATAGGTGAGGGCACTCGCAGGATATTCTCCCTAAAAAATGGGACACCCTTGAATCTAGTGGACAATATGCAAATCGACGCAGAAAACATGTTCCACATCACACACATTATCAATGTGTCTGATTTCACCACAGACAGATATGACATAGATTTGACTTTATGAAAGTATTTATTAAAGTGAGACGTTTTTAATTGTATTTCATATGAAGAAAATTAGCCATAATTAGGAACAGGTCTGCTCCATACGCACGCACGCACGCACACACATAGAAAGAGAGACAGACACACACGCACACCCGCACACACACACATGTTTTTGTTACCTGGTGGGTCCCTTAGACGGGGCCGTTCCATATGGGACCCACAGACATGATTTTAACTCCTAAAATCTTACTGTATTTTCGCCAATACTGGGGTCACTTCAGAATTACTCTGCACTGATCTTTTTTTACTGTAATGCAAAACAGTCAATACAAAACACAAATCTTTTACAGGATAGGGTCAAAAATGTATCAATGTTATTTTTATTTTTTAATGCAATGATTCTATTTTTCACATAGACTTAAATGCCACTCCATGTCTGATGTCTAAGGTCATCTGGTGAGGTGTTAATGCAGGCCAGGCAGTGAGACTTCCCAAGGACTTCTCCAGTCTGTATGAAAGACAAAAAAATAGAAGATATTAGAAATATACACTCCCAGGGTTAGGGCCAAGCAGCCTGGCCTCCTGGACCATCCACCCATACACTTACCAGAAGGGGCACTACGACTTCCATGCGGTGCATCCTTTCGAATGGGTGAAGTTTCTGTGCTTGAAGTTTCTTTTAGCCCGTCCGTTTCTGAGAGAATTTCTACTGCTCCTAGCCTGACACTCGCCAGACCCTTGTAGATGGCTGCGCTTCTCACATGGTTCTGGGTTTCCTTCATAGTGGATACATTTTTTCGAAGGCGGGGCCTTGTAAAAAAATCCTTGTAGGTGATTGGATAAACCACTTTTCAGTTATCTTGAATGACGTGTTTCTTCAACCACTCACATCGAAGCACACGTCTCCCATGTGTTGCCAAATGCCGGCAAGATTTTCCAACCCAAAACTCAAGAGAATGCACACAAAAAATACCCAGAATGTTTTTTTGGCTAAAAACGTTATGTAATCAACTTGGGATATCATGATTCTGTTTATTGTCTTTCTGTTTATTTATTACCTACAAGTCTCTTGGAAAAAAGTATGCGGGAAACCACCCAGCCTGGCAACCCTGCTGGGTAGTATTGTAAACAGGAACACTTAAACCAGTACTTAAACCAAACTTTATACAAACATTTTACTCTTAAAACACACATATAAAAACATGGAACCATTAACATCTCGCCTCAGATTGCAATAAAAGCAACATCCGTGTCTTAATTCGTTCGTATTTAAACTTTTTCGTAAAAATCACGGGCTTCATGTCCGCCATCTTGGATTGCTTTTGCTGCCGCGTGAGACATGCTTGAGAAGGCGGTGCAAACCCGACGTAATACCGGCGATCCTGATTGGTCGATTGTTTTCTGATCTGCTGAAGGAGTTTGCAACGCGCTCGATACCAGACCCTTGTGTGAAGCGAAACGCCTCTGGTGGAGCATGGCGGAACTACAAGGGTCTGACGAGAGCCAGGCTATACTACGCCTGTAGAACAGAAAAGAAAAAAAAACACTTAAATAAGTGTCATTTAGGGGACAATAATAATAATAAAACAAAATTTTAATGATATCAATGTAGGGTAAGAAAAATTTAATGTGGAGCGGCTAGTCTCGGTCGGAGTCTCGCCTTTCCACACAGAGGGATCTGAATTTATATTTAAGGGCACCAGTAGAATTTGAAACATCTACAACAGATCCAGTACTAATCTGCCTCGATCAGTCTCACAATCTGATAGGTCTTGGGTTCGAAATCAGCCAGGGATATCAAAAGATTTATAAAAAGGACACTTGATGATGACTAAGTTTATCGTGGGTTTATTGACTACATACGAAAATAGAAAAATATCAACGAGGAGGTGTTTGGTCACATTAAACAGGGATGTTAAACATATCACGTGAATCACACATTAACGTGGCAATTAGAACAGTCTTACTTTGACGTAGTCCGTATTGAAGAATTGCAGAGGAAAGGGGGGGGTCCACGTGTTCCTTTGTTCGAGCAGGGAAGACGAAGGCCAGCAGGTCACAGCAAAACTTGAAATCCACACATACACGTGCGCCGTCTAGAAAAGCGCCCGTATATGTAGTAGTCCAGTCCAGAAAGCCGGAAAGTGGCTGGTTGATGAGAGTTCGTTGCCTCCGACAGCGGTGTTGCTAGCTGTCCTTGTGGAGATAGAGGCCCAACGTTGTTACAGGCCCAGAGGTCGCGTTGGAGACGCGTACCTGGTTGTTAGGTTCGTTAAAGATGCCAAGAGAAAGTTTCTCGACTTGCGTGTGCTTTTTGTCCCAGTTCAGGGGGCGCGTCTATGACGTCATCTTTGTGCGCCTCCCTGGAAATCTTTTGTGACGAACCGTGACAGACATGGTTATAACGACATATGCATCACTGACACAGACGGTTATAACACATATACAGACACACAGTGCATTTACATTACAGACAATGGTACACACGTGTAGAGCACAGTAAAGGTTATCAGAATAATGACTTCACGGAGCGATGGTTTCGACTGTCCATCTCGGGTGTGCTAGCGTCCCGTGTCCACTGGGGGGCGTCAGAACGCCGTTGGTGGATCGCCAGTCTGCCTGGGAGGAATGTCTCAGGCCTTATCGGAGAGAGTGTACAGACCCGATTTGATCTTTGATCTCGCCGGAGAGGGAGGCAAAGATGCTTGTTTCTGGGGTCGATCATTGTCCCAGTTTGAAGGTTGGTATCTTTGTGACTAATGATAGTCCTCCATTCGACCTTTTTATGTCTCAGATGTCTGCTCTGGGATAGACATTCCCAAATCGCATGTTTTCTTATCTCAGGCTGGTTAGTTTCGACCGAGGGCATTCTTTGTTGAGTCATGCCCCCTTTTGTC